CATACCAGTGCAGTCTGCAATTACATGTACCAGTGCAGTCTGCAATTGCATGTTCCAGGGCAGTCTGCATTAACACATACCATTGCAATCTGCAATTACACATACCAGTGCAGTCTGCAATTACACATACCAGTGCAATCTGCAATTACACATACCAGTGCAGTCTTCAATTACACATACCAGGGCAGTCTGCAATTATACATACCAGTGCAGTCTGCAATTGCATGTACCAGGGCAGTCTGCAATTACACATACCAGTGCAGTCTGCAATTACATGTACCAGTGCAGTCTGCAATTACACATACCAGTGCAGTCTGCAATTACACATACCAGTGCAGTCTGCAATTACACATACCAGTGCAATCTGCAATTATACATACCAGTGCGTCTGCAATTACACATACCAGTGCAGTCTGCAATTACACGTACCAGTGCAGTCTGGATGACCAACCTGTTCCAGTACTTATAAAGCCAGCCAGTCCTCACCCTTATTGTCGTGATCTCTTGGCATTGTAGACTTGCATGTAAATGCAAAGGTAACAAAGATTATGCTGGTTTTGGAATTGGTATATAAGTATTACCTTGTTTATATTCCCAGGCAGATTCTTGGGTTTTATTTATCGGGTTGATTGGTGTTGAGCTGAAATCTAGAGACAGAAGAATCAGTTAACATTGCATCACAGAGAAACCACTGAAGTGAATCTTTGAAGTGCACTTACTTTATTTCCTGTATTATTGTGGTGATCTCAAATGTACAGCCTGGCTCTCTAGCTGTGACTGTGAGAGTTTACAATTGCTGGTGACTTGCATTCCTGACCCAGAGAGAGTTCCTGAGTTAAGATGGTGATTATTTAATTAAATAGTTCCAGTGAAATAACTGATGTTGATTTCACTGAGCACCATGATATACCAATACCATTTCATAAAGGGCTGCTTTAAAATGTTTCAGTGTTATGTTCAAGGTCCTTCATGTCACTGTCTTGTGAAACCTCACAAGTCTCCCACTTCCACCCATTCCTGTGGCATTACCGCTATCCACCACTTTTAATATTCACTGCCTCCACCACTGATGTGCTATGGCATCAGTGAGTATCATCTACAAGATGCTGTGCAGCACTTTAACAAGGCTCCTTCACAAGCATCTTCAATACCGAAGTCTACCAGCTTGAAGGTCTTGATGCATGAAACAGTACCACTTGGAATTCCTCTGCCAGTCACCTACCATGCTGACTTCTAATACTAATACTGATTCTAACCAGCCTCGCACTGTAACTCCAGCACTGACTCTAACCAGTCTCACACTGTAACTCCAGCACTGACTCTAACCAGCCTCGCACTGTAACTCCAGCACTGACTCTAACCAGTCTCACACTAACTCCAGCAATGACTCTAACCAATCTCACACTGTAACTTCAGCACTGACTCTAACCAGCCTCGCACTGTAACTCCAGCACTGACTCTAACCAATCTCACACTGTAACTCCAGCACTGACTCTAACCAGCCTCGCACTGTAACTCCAGCACTGACTCTAACCAGCCTCGCATTGTAACTCCAGCACTGACTCTAACCAGCCTCGCACTGTAACTCCAGCACTGACTCTAACCAGCCTCACACTGTAACTCCAGCACTGACTCTAACCAGCCTCGCACTGTAACTCCAGCAAGAAGCTGCCTGCATTACTTAAAAACTAGCACACATGGCCAGTATGCAGCAGTTACACTACTCCTTCTGTGATTGGGAACATTGAAGGCCATACTGTTTACACGACTATCCAGGAAAAAAGACATGGTAGTGCAGGGAGTACAATAAATCAAAATAAAAACAGAAATGCTATGGGGTCTTTATTCAGCTGCTCAACATGGCATATAACTCCGGACAGGATAAATAGTGCTGCCCCCATTAACAGTATCTATGTCATGTACACACAACAATATGTCCAGTTGGTCTAGTGTTGCGAGGACATGGAAGACAGACAGAGAATGCTGGAAAATCTCAGCAGGTCTGGTAGAAGCAATGGGGAGAAAAAAACAGAGTTAACGGTTTGAGTCCAAGTGTAACTCTTCTTCAGAACTGAAAGGGATGGGCAAATGATTTGTTTTTGTAATGAGGTGTTACTATTTGAGCATGTGCTGTGCTTCATTCGAACATTGCAGTAGGCTTAAGACAGAAATCTTACCATGACAGCAAGGTGGTTTATTGAAACTGAAAGCAACTGGGAGGTCAGAGTCATTCCTACACAAGTCGAGGTGGCTATGAAATCAAGTTTTAGCAAACACTAGGAGAGAGATAGAAAGCAATGAAAGTGAACAAGCCAAAAGGATTAAATTGGAAATCCTATCTGTAACATCCTGAAAAATTAAAACAGAAACACAAGCAAGGTGGCACTGGAGGTCATACACTCTCTACAGTGAGGCAATTCAGCCCATCAAGTCTATTCCAAACCTCTGAAGAGCATCCCACCCAGAACCACCCCATCTCCATAACTCCACATTTCCCATGGCTAATCCACCTAGCATACACATCCCTGGACACTATGGGACAATTCAGCATGGCCAATCCACCTAACCTGCACCTTTACATTGTGGGAGGAAACCAGAGCATCCGGAGGAAATATATGTAGACATGGGGAGAACATACAAACCCCACAAAGACAGTTGCCTGAGGATGGAATCAACGCTGTCAGGCAGCAGCTTTACCCGCTGAGCCACCATGCCATCCATGTCTTATAATGTCTCATAACATTATGTCCATCATGTCATTTGTAATAAAAGTCTTCAGTGCATGAGGTAATTCTGCCTGTCAATTTATTGCTTGATCTTTGAAAGAGTTATCCAATATGTACCACTCCCTTACCCTTACTCATAGCCCTGAAGTCTAGTACTGACTCTAACCAGTCTCACACAGTAACTCCAGCCTTAGCCTTACTCATTGTTGATTCTGTCATCTTTGCTCTTTTAAGCAGTGCATTCCAGTTCATAATTACTTTGATTACCACCTCTCCTGGAATGGAACATTTGTCCTTATTTCCTCTACATTACTGTGTTATGTTCTTGCCTGACTCAGAAGAGGTCTTCTATGCCAGCAATGCCAGAATGTCAAAATTTTCTATGTCAGAATTGCAGCTCAAGTGAACAAAGAGTAGGATGCTGGCAATGGGGCTTTCTACTTTAGCTTGCACACCAGACCATTTCAAGAGAGGGGCTGTGGACTGTAAAATGGATCCTGGAAGCAAAACGAATTATCAGTCAGAATTGAAATTGAAATTACAACATTGAGGTGGGTTAATTTCTTCACAGTCACTATGAATCTGACAAAGATGCTGTTTATCCACTGAGATAAACTATTACCAAATTGTTGAGGCATTTACAGTATTTGCGGTTCTGTCTAGGATTAAAACTAAATTTAATTTGGATTAAAACTAAATATTGTACCATTGCATATGACCGCCACATCCTCATAATGGTTGCAGTTGTGAATGGCCCAGCCCAGGCTTCCACACTCGCTCAGCGATGACTCTGTCCCTTTGCAATCAACATTATCCAGCAGGATCAGCCCTGACCCTTTGCCAAAGGGCAGTGTTCCTGCCGCAGAGAGGGCACGGCCACATTCAAGCTGCTGGCAAACAACATTGGCATCGACGATGTCCCAGTCATCATCACACACCGTCCCCCAAGTGCCATTATAAAGGATTTCCAAAAGACCTTGGCATGGATTGTGCCCATTGACCAAACGAACTCCTGGGGTCAGAATATAAAAAACAACTTGTGAAAAACTGTTCATTGTCTTTGTTTGACAAACAAATTCTCAATATTTGTAAATTCTCAATATCTTCAGTGCCTCTTCTCCATTAAAGGAATTGAATTATAAATTGAAGGGATAAGGAAGACTTATATTTAGTACAGCAAACGTTTTATTATCTGGCACCTATGGGACCAAGAGTGTGCTTATTGATCAAATATTCCAGATAATCAAGAGGTCCACATAATCAATGTACAAACACACACTAACTAAGAGAAATGTAATGCAAGGGGTACATACATCACTGTTATGCTTTAAATTTTTTAAATAATAATGCAACTTTGCCTTAAATAAAACTTACCGGCAGAAAGCCTTCCCACTTGTACCCTCAACTGACTACTCGGACATCATGGCAGAATGTGGTATATGAGGAGAAATTGACTTGATATTGAATCAACTGTTGATGTTTTGTGTGGCTATTCGATTGAACACCAAGTATATTTACACTGAGGTAAATAAACTAAAAAACTATAACAACTGGAAGGAATAACAGAGTGAACTTCACGGTATTTGAGGTGTATAATTTTTGCCTGTTTATTAAGAGTGCCGGTTCATAAGGTTCTGGTTAAAACAAAGTTGCTGTCCCACTGCCCACATTGTTAGGACATCCTAAAACACAATGCAATTACTTTTGATGTTAACTGCTGTAGCACAGGAAATGTGGCCGTTTATTTCTGCAATGGATCCCAACAAACAGCAACATGATAAAAACCAAACATTCAGTGATATTGGTTGAAGGATGGAATATTGATCATAACATGATGGCATGGAAATATGGCCAAGAAGAATAACTGGATACTCGAGTCAAGGCTAACTCACAATAGATTCATTACCATTTTGTTCCCTTGTATGACTCAGGCCCAAGTTTTCACAATCATAAGGACTCTTTGCCAAGCCAAAATAACAGAAGGACCCTAGATGCTAAAGTCCAGATCCCATTTCCATCATATCTTATTTTTACCAGTATAAAGGAGGCGGGACATTAGTCATACATTTGGCAACTCAACCCAGCCAGGGACATCTGAACATAATGCAGAGTTCAAATAAAATCCTAACTTTTGTTGGAACAAGTTCAATTTTCTACAATGTGTGACTTACCATTTTCAGGTTAGAGATTAATGAGTGAAAGAGGTACATAAGGTCCGTTGAACTTTCAAATTGACATGCTATTTAAATTGAAAATGTACAACCTGCTCTCTGTCAGTTGACAAAAAAGTGTTTTTTTCAAAACATCAAAAGAAATTTGTGGACATAATCCTGAGGGCTATCATTACAGTATGAGTCTGGCTTGACTATCAATCTATCATTATCACAAGAGTGGGCCAATAAGCTCATAGTTTGTCTAATAGCTCCAGGAGGTTATTGAGAAATCAGCTGTCTTTGATGTGGGCTACAAATACAACTCTTTGTTCTAATACGGGATTAAGTACTTGAACGGATTTAAATGTATTGAGTGTGCTGTTATCAATTAGAGTATTTTTATTAATATACTGTGAAGTTTGTGTTAAATACTTGGAGTGTTATTTTGTTTCATCACAGAGTGGCTCCTTGGAATGCCCAGGGTGGGTAGGGAATGAGTTGGCAAATGTAAGGGCAAAGGGTGGTGTGTGGCAGGATATGAGTTTCTACGAATTAGTACAAAGTAGGCATTTGGGTCTTTATCTACTGAGGCAGCTTGTGTTGAGTCAAGAATCTTTCTGCCACTGTTCTTCGGTCCAATTTCCACTTTAATTATAATCAAATCCAATCTTTTGAGATCCAGGATTCTGATTTTACACTGCACGCACTGAGAATGAGTCAAAGGTTCAGTGTAGTGGATTATACTGTCAGAAAATGATCCATCTACAAAAGTGAGCCTGTCAAATCGAAAAATCATGCCACACCCAGATTTTGGCAGTATCAGCTGTGGCTCAGTCTGAACATTCAGCCTTCATCTCCCACTCCAGATTCTACATACCAACATCTGAGTGGACCAACCAATGCAGTACTGAATCAGAGCTGCTATCTGTATTCTGGTAAGATAAGGCAATGCCCCATTTGACCTCTCAAGAGGGTATAAATGATCCAGTCACACTCTTGCAAAGAAGAGTAGGGATTCCAATATCTAACCCTTAAACAGCATCATAAAAACAGATTGTGTAGTTGTTAACACAGTACTGCACATGGATATTTGCTGTGTGCAAATTGATCACCACATTCCCCAGACCACAACAATTGCTCCATTGGCTGTAAACTGCTTTGGAACATCTTGAGGGCATTTAAAACACTTTTAATGCAGATCTTCTTTCTTTTTGCATTACCAAGGAAAGCTACTCTATTTGCCAAGATTGTTAGCTATCTTGGAGATAGTTGGAACTGCCGATGCTGAAGTCTGAGATAACAAGGTGTAGAACTGGATGAACACAGCAGGCCAGGCAGCATCAGAGGAGCAGGAAAGCTGACGGTTCGGGTCTGGACCCTTCTCCTCTGATGCTGCCTGGGCTGCTGTGTTCATCCAGCTCTACACCTTATTGTTAGCTACCTTAATTGATTTATATTGAATTCAAAACAAGTGCTCAACCTTCAGGGTGACTTCGATTTTTTGTTTAAAAAGTTTAATTCCAAATTGGACAATATTATTTGAGTGTGAGATCAACAGTACAGTATTAAAGATGCAATATGTCCAGCTAGCTCAATGTCGCTCTGTTGTACTTATGTCTAAAATTGAATTCAGTAATAGAGAATGGAACAGAATAGATAAGGCAAAAGTAGGGGAGCATCTAGGCAATAGTAACCATAATATAATATCACTTATGATTATAATTAAGAAGAATATAAGCACACCAAAGATCTGGCTAACGATTTGGAGAAAATCTGAATTTTGAGGTGCTCAAAATAGAACATTGTAAAACAAAATCAACAATGGTTTTGGCAAAAAATGAACTTCAATGGGAAACATTTAAAATGGTACTGACACTGTGGATGAATAAAGATATTTTGGAAAAACTGGGGCTAGGAAAAAGAAATACACTAAGAATATGCATAGCATGACAGTGCATGACACAGAAGGATACAAATTGATTAGGGGAGAAGTAAGAAAAATCAGTAAAAAGGAACAAAGAAATTAAGTTATTACAAAATCAAGATATTGTTACAAAAAGAAATATTTTGTTGAAGCCTTTTATCTTGCACTCATCACAACAAATTGCAAGAACACCAAAATTAAGGGAAAACAATATTCATAGCACGAGAGGAGAATGCTAATTGTTTAGCAAGTGGACTTTGCTTGATAGAGCAGTCGCCATGGAGAATGATGGCTGATAGTTAACCACCAAACATTGTTTACATTTTATATCAGGCAAGTCGACTCTGATTGGTCAAGAAATTGCCCTCCAAAATGAACCAGTGCATGGCTGTCGTGAGTTGAAACAGGTACATTGCATGTAAATGTTTTTTCTATCAACAAAGAACAGGGTCCCATGGATAAATATATGTAATTTCTAACATACACAAGTACATGGCACTTTGAGCCTGAATGAAATTTCTAAATTTATTGTCGGTACAGTTCTTCACACACTTAGGATTATTTAACAGATGTTGTCCAATCACAGAATCACATCTGGTGTTGAATAATGTGTTGTGAATTTGCAATTGTGGACTGGGTGCTGTTCAGCAATACTCAAGCTCTACTCTACCAAATGAAATCAAAATAGCAAACTATTCCGCCAACTTGAAAGTACTGAAGGAAATCCAGGATGGGAATAGGATCATGAAGGAGCAGACAAGATAAGATCTCCAGTAGTGAAACCAAAAGAACATAAATATTAAATTATGACTATACTTCAGTGTTTAACAAGGAAATAAGCCTTATTGATATGACATCAGAAAATGAGAATTGAAATTAAATAACTGTTTTTCTCATAAACAGAAAATAACCTAAAGAAACTCAAAGAGGGTAATGTAGACCAACAGGAGGCTGGAAGAACACGGCAGGCCAGGCAGCATCTAAAGGAAAGGAGAAGTCAACGTTTTGGGTATTACCCTTCTTCAGGACTAAATGTGGGGGTAAGGGGAGCTGCAGATAAAGAGAGGGGTGGAAGTGGAATGGTGGTGAACACGGGTGGTAGGTACAATCTGAATGGTTGATGGGAGGGATGAAACCAGTTGGTAGCTGGAAGGGAGGGTCAGAAGGTGGAATGGAAGGGATGAAGTGGGGCTGGAAGGGGAGGTGGGGGATGGGTGGGAAGGTTATTTGAAATTGGAGAACTGAATGTTGAGTCCTCTGGGCTGTAGGGTGCCCAGGTGGAAGATAAGGTGTTGTTCCCAAATTTGTGTTCTGAATCGCTGCGACACTGGAGGAGGCCAAGGAGGGACATGTCGGAGGGGGAGCGAGTGAGGCTGGGGAGGTGGAGTTGAAATGGGTGGTGATCGGGAGATTAGGCTGGCCGTTATGGGTCAAGCGAAGATGCTTGGCGAAACTGTCACCTAGTCTACGTTTGGTCTCACCGACGCAGAGAAGACCACATCAGGAGCCCTGGATGCAGTAGATTAGGTTGGAGGAGATGCAGCTGAAGGTCTATCTCACCTGGAAAGGCTGTTTAGGGCCCTGGATGGAGGTGAGGGAGATGGTGCATTGGCAGGTGTTGCATCTTTTCATTTGGTCTATCTCGGACACCTCCCTCCCCTTTCTTGATCTCTTTGTTTCCATTTCTGGTGACAGTTTACAGACCAACATTTATGATAAATGCAGAGACTCCTATAGCTACCTAGACTATATCTCCTCCCACCTGTATCCTGCAGAAACTCCATCCCGTTTTCCCAATTCCTCCAACTCCGTCCCATCTGCTCTGACAAGGAGAAATTTCACTCTGAAGCATCCCAGATGTCCTTCTTTTTCAAACAATGTTCTTTCCCCGCCTCTGTCATCCAGGCAGCCCTCCACCGCACCTCCTCCATTCCCCACTCCACATCTCTCAACTAGCCCCCCACACATAATAAAGATA